GACCATGGGTTTAAATATAGCGATAAGATAGCACTACTTATACTCATTACTGAAAGTGGATACCTCGAGGCATTCGGCTCTTGGACAGCAGGGGCCAAATCAAATCAAGTCTCTAGACTCTCAGTCTTTGTCCTTCTAACTAAAAATAAATAAAACTGCAATTGACCTAATAATATAAACCCGGAGAATACATTGTGAAAAGAAGAGGTAACCTAAAAATATCAACATTTTAACACATCTGTCTTTACTGTCTTTTTCTGAAAATGAAAATTCTTCTGCATGATTTAAAGAGGTACTTCACATAAACATTCAAAATACATTTGTTAAACCCAGTAAAATAAATAAAGCAATAGTTATATATACAATTATGGTGAATTATTCTTATTTTTACACACAAATACATTTGAAGCTCTACTTTAATTACATTTTCCTAAAAGGCATTTTGCTTGTCTGGAAAGATAAATAAAATGCCATCAGAATTTAATCTTTGCTAATGCAAAAAGATTCAAAAATGTCCTTATCTTATAAAAATTTATGACATGAGAGAAAGCACAGATCTTTCGAGACATTAAAAAAGTCTACATTTTCAAAGTACATTTCAAAGTAAATAAAAAACAGTGAGTATGCTTTTAAAAATGACAATGATAGCAGTGAATTTAAGTTTTGCCTCATTATAAAAATGTGTACTTCCCTTTAGAGATGATATGGAGTAATGAAGATTTTTTTGAGAGAGATTTTTGCTATATAGCGCATATGCTCACCAGAGAGACAGAGAGACAGAAAGTGAGAAATCACCCTTCCCCCACCAGTGGGGAGATGACCACGCCGCAATCCCTTCTTCTCCATTCTCCTCTTGGGATGTTGGACACACATGCACATGTGACTGGCAGGAGTTTTAAACTACTGTGTGCAGGACTCAAACTATAGTTGACCACATGGGAATCCAGCAACGTAACCATTTAAGCCATCTGCTGGTCCCTCATTATTTAGGATTTTTTTAAGTATCCAAGTTAATATCAACTAGGTGGTACCTAAACCAGGCTGAAAACCATGGTAGGCCTTCATTAAAGATTTCTTTTCTTCTGTCTCTTATAAGGGGAAACATCTACAAAATGAACTATAAAGTCATAAAATATCATTAGAAGAAATAAAAAAATTACAAATTATAGTAAGTGCTAGGAAGAAAATCAACAGAGTGCTGTTAAGTTAGAGAATATCTATGATTTTCTAGCAGTGCTCCTAGCTACTTTAGCAACATCAGACTCCCTGAGGGGACCTATCATACAGATTGCCACACCCCAGAGCTTCCAATATCACAGGTCTAGAGGTCCTTTAGCACAACCAGACTCCCGGAGGGGACCTATCATACAGATTGCCACACCCCAGAGCTTCCAATATCACAGGTCTAGGGAAGGGCCCAGAAATGACATTTCTAATCAGTTCCCAGCCAGTGCCTATGCTGCTAGTCCCATTGCCAGTTTGAGAATCGCTACCCTAAAACAAATTCCTCAGAAAATATTCTCTCATAAAATAAAACTTCTCTTGCTTCTTCAGATGTGCAGACGTCTTTTTTTTGCACTCACACCCAATAGTGCCCTTTTACCACGTTACTTCTCAGGACCTTTTATATTTAACATATATTTGTAAATCTCCTGAAAAGGGCTATGGTACATGGATTTGTTACACTTATTTGATGTTGTATTTGATGGATTTGTCACACTTATTTGTTTCTTTTTAAGAGACATTTCACCAAATGTGAAATGTCTAGCCATTGTTTTTATTTATACCCTCTGAAATGACGTAGAAGTTTCCTCCATAAAATGGGATAACTAATACATGCAGAAAGACAGTAACTTGTTTCCTTGGGGCTTCTCTTTTCCAAGGTAAGCATCATGTTTCCTCATCTGTCATTTAAGATGGATACGAGTCTCTGTACCCTCTTTCGCTCATAAAATACAGTATTCTATGCTGAGTGCAATACTCTACGTGTGAAAGGCAAGGAAAACAGCTAACTTCTAGAGCCAAGAAAGCAGGCTACTTCAGAAGGATCAGCACTAGAAGGTAATGTAGCAGGACACAGCTCTTCTAATACCAGCCTAATCAAATTACCCAGAACATTCCATAGACATCTTCTATATATTTCCTGTACCAAGAGGCAAGGTAATATAATACTGAGAACTCTAGATAGACTAAGCTGACAAGTAGCTTTCATCTTACTTGCCAAATCTAGTCAATTAGAAGATATCACTTGAAGTAAGAATCTCACTAGTATAAAAGATACTATTATAGATTAGTTATATCTGTCATATATCAGGGAATAGAAATTGGTGGCAGAATATTTGCTAATCTTCTTCAAAGTAATTTAGACTCTGATGGAGCCTGTATGATAATACCAAAATTAGAACTTTTCTCAGCATGCAAACAAAATAAAGGAGAAGGTGCCAGCTTTGACATTTAGGAAAAAGTTAAAGTACCTCCTCTAAAAACACTGGGACAGGGAACCAGCAGTTAGCATAATGGCTATGTCGCTGGACTCCCATGTAGTCGACCGCGGTTCGCGTCCCGGACCCGGTGGCTTAAAACTCATGCCGGGTGCGTGTGCGTGCGTGCCCAAGATCCCGAGAGGAGAATGGAGGAGAAGGGATTGCGGCGTGACCATCCCCCCGGGGGGTGATTTCTCACTTTCTGTCTCTATGTCTCTCTTTGTCTGCCTGGCAAGCGCACACGCCCTATAGCAAAAACCGCTCCAAAAAAAAAAGATAAAACACTGGGACAGTTTCAGGCTGCAAGGGCTTGCTTTATGACTTTCAAAACTAAAGCAGTGATGGGGACCAGCAGGTGGCATGGTGGTTAAGGCACTGGACACTCCCACATGGCCGAGTATGGTTTGAGTCCCAGACCTGGTGGCTTAAAACTCACACCGGGCGCATGTGCGTGCATGGCCAAGATCCCGAGAGGAGAATGGAGGAGAAGGGATTGCGGCCCTGTCTCTCTCTGGTCAAATAAAAAATAAATAAATAAATAAAGTTAAATAAATAATTCTTTAAAGACAAAAAGAAAAAATAAGCTAAAGCAGTGATGTTCAAAAGTAAAGTTGATCACATCCTTCTGCCTCCTCCTTCTTAGATTGTATGAGTTGACCCATAGCTGTCAGGAATCATGTACATGCCTTAATCAAGGATTATATGATGTGACAAGTATACAAAATGTTTTGAGAACACAACACTGAACTGTTACTAAAACAGTTTTTCCATTAAAGGAAATGAAGAGAAATCTAAACATTCTTTCAATTCAGTTACGAAACACAATTACTAAAGAAAATATTTTGAATATAAGACTAATGCACACATACAAACTCTCAAAATATATTTATTCAAAAATTCTAATGACTTTTTCATAATTTCAAAATAAACTCTCACCAATGCTTCTCTTCAACAGAAAACTATAAAAATGAGCAAAATAAAAGAGCTTCTCAAGTAATTACCTAAATTACATAAACCAAAAGATTTAGTTGTACAATAAATGTATTAAATTTAATGCACTGCAATTTACTAAAACTGACATTTTAATGCAAAAACTCTCTAGCCAAGTGAAATCATGTCTATAAATTTGCTGAAAAACAGCAAAGAAGAAGGCCTGAAAAATAACCACCCACTTGGAAAATTCTCTATTCCAATTACCTAATCAATTCTCTGACCTTGGGCCTAAATGTTTAAGTTTTTCTTTTAAGTAGGCAAAATTCTTTCTCTTGGACATACTTTGTAAGTACAGACTATGTACAGAGATCCATCATTATCCGTCATACTGATGAGTAGTTGAACATCTCTGCCTTCAAGGTTCAAGAGGTGCAAAAAGTAACAAAGACTTTTTAAAAAGGTGCTCAAAGAGCTCTTCTGTAAGACTGAACATGATGGATGCTTTTCAAGGTCAGATGGCAGGTATATTTCTACTGTGTGTGTGTGTGTGTGTGTGTGTGTGTGTGTGTGTTTGTGGGTGGAAGAGAGACTTAGGGAAGGACCCCTGAAAAGTATATTTGAGTTGGGATCAGCAGTTAGCGTAATGGCTATGTCGCTAAACTCCCATGTAGTCGACCGCAATTCGAGTCCCAGACCCGGTGGCTTAAACTCATGACGGGTGTGTGTGTGTGCATGCCCAAGATCCCAAGAGGAGAATGGAGGAAAAGGGATTGCAACGTGGTCATCCCTCTTGGGGGGTGATTTCTCGCTTTCTATCTCTCTGTCTCTGTCTGTCTTTCGGGCAAGCGTACGCACCCTATAGCAAAAACCTCTCCCCCACTCCTCATAAAAGTGTATTTGAGCTACCTCTTTAAGGATTGGCAGGATTAAGACATGCAAAGATGGTGAGAAAAGACATCCTAGGAAAAAAAGACATCCTAGGAAAAGGAAACAGTATGCGAGGGCTAGGAATTGAGTATAGCAAGGGACAGAAATGAGGCACAGTGGGGTCACAGTATAAGGTTCAAAACAGAAGGAGTAGGAAATTAAGTTGAAAACAGTGGTCAAGTGCCATGTCATGGAGGTACTTAATATTAGGTTAAGATACATAAACTACTGATAGTCATTTAAAGTTTTAGACCAATCCTTCAGGGAGAATAACCTAGAAAACTACGCATACATGCTGTACTCCCACATGACTGACCATAGTTCAAGTCCCAGATCTGGCGGCTTGAAACCCATGCC